TATGTTATTCAGAGTAATTTCAGTCTGTGGTACTGGTCACTGATGTGACAGAATAAACTATTTTTTTTTAATTTCATTGAAAGCAGAGTCGCTATTTTATGACACCATCAATGAAATGTACATAACTTCTTCATCTTACAAGATGGGGAACAGAAGCCTTCACATTTTTATGACTATGGGGAGTGAGTCAGGGTGTGCCCAGAATTCCTTCTCTCCAGAGTATTATGGTCACAAGCTGCTCTGTGGAGAATATTTTCTCCCATATGGTATAGAATGGGAATTTTACCTTTTACTCTGCCAGAGTCCTTACTCAAATCCCTTGTCTTTTCCCAAGTTGTTAATACGTGGAGATCTTGCCTTGTCCTACCACTTGCACGGGGCCTCAGCCTGCTCCCTCTGTGTCAGTTTTGTAAGAATATAGAAACCTGGAGTACTAGGATCTGCTGTGGTTTTCTATACTTTTTTCATCTTCTTTAGCATCTGTATTTTTCTCATCTTTAGCACCTAGCCTTCCATCAATTGCCAAGGATAAAACAAAATCAGGGTATTTCATATAAGTTCTTGATCAACTGATGAATAATTATGCTCATACTGGGACTTGAACTCAGGCCTCACCCTCTCCCTTTGCTTTTCACTCAAGGTGGGCATTCTACCTTTTGAGTCATAGCTCCACTTCTGGCTTTTCCCCCCCTGGCTAATTAGACCTCTCAGATTTGTCTGCTGGAGTAGGCTTCAAACTGGAATACTCAGATCTCAGCCTCCTGAATAGCTAGGATCATAGACATGAGCCATTGCCTGGCTTTTTTTTATTTATTTAAATTGTATGCTTAGGTAATTTTGGACCCCAGTTCCCTATAGCAACAGGCTGGGGTGCAACCATGTCAACCCTGCTCTAAGGCTTGAGTGGATTTTCAAGTCCTGTAATACAGAACTATAATTAATCTCTGTGCTCTAGCCCCATATCTCACTCCTCCCATAGCCTGAAGCTCCTCTTTCAGCTACTGCGGGACAGAGTGACTTTTCTTGCTGTAGCCCCTCCTTATGTATTTCCCCTTGCTGTTTCCACAGTGTAATGTGTGGTCCTCCCACCAGAACAGCCTGCTGGCATCACTGAGATTCTCTTAGAAATGCAGAATCTCATGCCTCATTCAAAATCAACTCAATCAGAATCTGCATTTTAACAAGCTCCCCAGATGAGTGATTTGCCTACTATTTGCCGCTGGTCTGACTCTGCTGTGATTGGTTGACTTTAAAAATAAAATTTGTCTTCTTCAATGAATTGAATTCTCTCAGGCATCAATGTCTCCCTCCTCCCCTTTACTTATCATTGATTCTGTGAATTTACTTTTTATTTGCATACCTTTGCCATTACTTAATGGGACGTTTAGGGAGACAAAGGGGTGGGGAATGTGTGGTTGGTAATTGAGCAAATGGTTGATCAATTTTAAGAGACTTGTCTTAAAACACAATGGTAATAGAAAATCTTATCTGTTTACTAGTTTGTGTTTGCAGCTCTCCTCTCAAGAGCAACAGATGTGAGGGGATGACAGATGTTGATGATTGTAGTGCAACAAGCCTGCAAGCCGAGGTCTCCCAATGTCTTTGGTTGCTTTTTCTGCACCTGGAAAAGACAGGCAAGCTGCTCCCTGTAAGGAAAGGGGCAACCATCCTGCTAGAAATACCAGCATTGAATAAGCAAATAAGAAATGACAATAAAGATAGAGAATGAATAGGTCTGTAGAGAGGCTCAAAACCATGTTTCTCCGTTGTTCTGGTATATATTTATTTCTAGAATTACAACCACCACCGAACATTTGTCCCAGCCAATCATGCTTGGATTTGTAGAAATTAATGTCAAAAATGATTCACAGATAAATGAACCAAAAAGTTGAAGAGAAAAGGTGCTGATCTTTTCACCATTCAGGGGTCTTGAGCCCTATCTGGGTAAAAATAAATGACTTCAATAAGATATTATACCATGTAGATTTTTTTAAAATAGAAACTGGATAATCACTAAAAATAGTTTAAACTGCTAGTAATTCTCAAAACTGACTGCACACTGAAATCATCAGGAAACCTGGCTCCCACCTGGAAAGATTTGATTTCATAGTGCAGGGAATGGCTGGGACATAAAAGTCATTGCCCTGTGCTGCTAGGGCTGGTAACTAACAGACTTGAACAAGACAGACAGACATGGTATTTCACTTCACCAGGTCTGGAGGTGGTATTGGAAGCAAAGCTTAGGCACTCAGTAATATCATCAAGGACTCAAATGCTTACCAACTTTTTCCTTAGCCATTCTCAGTCTAATGAGTTGTCTCCACTCTCAGACAGAGATGGCTGCTTTGTTTTGAACATACAGGATTAAATGGAGAATAAAATACATTCTTGATTTCTCCAAGCTGGAGTCAAGAATATAAATTTTCTCTCACCCACTACAAGTGCCACATTATAGTTTCCCATTGCTAGTTTTAACACATCCCTGCCTACCATTTCTCCCCCCCTCAGCATTTCCCAATATTAACCTTACACAACTATAGTATTAATATCAAAACCAAGAAGCTGAAATTGGTACAACCTATAGAAACTATTCAGATTTCACCAGTAGACTTGTGTGCAGCTCCATGCAACTTTACACATGTAGCCTTATGAAATCACCACCATAATCAAGATATCCAATTCTACCATGATCATGGCTTGAATAGTAAATGTTCCCCTCAGGCTTGTCTGTTGAATGGTTGGAACCCACTTGGTGGTACTATTTTGGGGTGGTTCTGGAGATTTTAGGAGGTGGAGCCTAGCTGGATGAAAAAGTCACTAGTCCTTGGAGGTATCTTGTCATGGGTTTCTCTGATGCTGTCTCTGTCTCTCTTCCTGCTTCCTGTCCACCAAGAAGCAAACAGCTCTCCTCTATCACACATTGCTGCCACAATGTTCTGTCTAAATGCATAGGACTTACATCACAATGGACCAAACCCCTCTGAAATTATAAACAAAATACATATATCCATCTTTGTTTCCTGAGGTATTTTGGTTGCATGATGAAAAAATAATTGTTGCCCACGCTTTATAGCCACATCCTTCGTCTCTTCTTCTTTTACTGGTAACCATTAGTACTTTCCACCTCTGTTAAGTATGAATGTTATCAGGTAGTATAATCCTTATAAGATTGGCTTTCCCCACAAAGCATAATGCCTTGGGCTTAATCCAAGTTGTTGAGAATGTCAATTGTTTTTTTTTTCTTTCCCTTTTTTTTTTGGGGGGGGGTGCTGGTCGTGTGGCCTGAACTCTGAGCCTGAGCACTGTCCCTCAGTTCTTCAGCTCAAGACTAGCGCTCTACCACTTGAACCACAGCGCCACTTCCGGCTTTTTTCTCTTTGCTTATGTGGTGCTGAGGAATCGAACCCAGGGCCTCATGCATGCAAGGCAAGCGCTCTACCACTGAGCCACCTTCCCAGCCTGTCAGTTGTCTTTACTACTGAGTAACACACTATGGCATGCACATATCATTATGTAATCTTTCACCTGTTGAGGCACACTCAGTTTCCAGTTTGGGAGTATTACAAACTTGCTGCAAACAGTTACAAGCAAGTTCCTGTGTGTGACTAAAATTCATTTCCCTGAGATAAATGGCTAAGAGAGTAATTGCTAGGTTAAATTCCTACCAGCAATGTTCATGTAATCCAGCTTCTCGGCATCCTCACTAATAATTGGTGTTTTTCAATGTTAGTTTAAGAGTTTCTTACATATTCTAGATAACATGGCTATTATTTTTAATCAGTGGCTGTAACATGTCATTTGAGGGGAAATGATGTAATGAAGAGACTCTATCTCAGTGAACCACATTAATACCCCTCCCTATTTAGAAAAACTGTCTAAATCAATTTCAAGCCAGCTGCCTGCAGAAAAACACTTTGTAGGGGACCAGATCTAACCCAGGGCAAAAACGTCTATTTGCCATTAATCTGTTTCACACTATTCAAGTGTGTGTGTGTGTGTGTACCCACACTGAATATATATATATATATATATATTAGTAATGACTTATCTTTCAACTATTCTGAATGGATTGTTCTTTCAGCCTTTTCAATATGACTTACAATAGACTCAAATACATTACTGTAAGAAACTTTAAAAGCCACATAGGGCTAATCACAAAATTTCATTGAAGGACTCTTGGAAATGTTTCAATTACAGCAGGAGATTGGGCTTATTGGTAAGAAAGCACTGACATATTAAACTGACAAGGCATGTCTGGAAACTTCAGACCTTCAGCAATAGTGGGCATGAACTGATGGTGTTATGCACTGGTAAAACTCCTTCTTCCTCAGTGGGGACTCATTTCTTTTTTTCAACTATTTTAACCAGCCCTCTAGTGTGAATCCTAGTAACTAAAGCCAAATCAAGCTGACACACAAAACAAACTTTCACCAGCCTTTTTCATATCTACATTAAGTATAATTTTTATTTGTAAGATTATTTGTGTTTTTTAAGTTTTGACCACTCTTGACCAAGATTTTTCTAGTTTAGTAGACTTTCAAAGAACCAACTACCAGCATTTTTTGTTTACTTTCTAGTCTACCAGCTTTTGCCCCTTATGATGTCACAGATTAGGCAGAAGTTGAATCAATCACTAAGGACCACCTTCTACTACTCTAGCCCAAAGCCACACTTCACATTCTAGGTTATTTTTGTCCTTTATCACCATGGAGCATAAATTTATATTACACTTTGGTGTAAGACTAATTATAGTTATTAATAGAAATATATCTAATCATATAGAAACCTTCCCAATTGCCAATGTTTGTGCTAGAAATTTTTGTGCTTAAAGCTATTGTTGGGGCTGAGAGTATGCCTTAATGGTAGAGCATTTACCTAGCTAGCATACATGAAGACCTGGGCTCAATTCCTCAGTACCACGTAAGCAGAAAAAGTCAGAAGTGGTGCTGTGGCTCAAGTGGTAGAGTGCTAGCCTTGAGCAAAAGAAACTCTGGAACAGTGTCCATGCCTTGAGGTCAAGCTCCAGGACTGGCAAAAAAAAAAAAAGTGCTGTACCACTTGAACTACAGCTCCACTTCTGGCTTTTTGGTGGTTGACTGGAACTAAGGGTCTGATGAACTTTCCTACCTGGGCTGGCTTTGAACCACACTCCCCATATCTTGACCTCCTAAGTAGCTATGATTACAGGTGTGAACAACCAGCACCTCACTGAATTAACTTTTAGCGTACCTTGAACTCAAAAGAAGGGCTGAGTATAGCTCAATGACAAAGCATACCTACCATGTGCAATGTCTTGGGTTCAATCCACAGCACTGCAAACAGAAATAAAAAACAAAAAGCAAACCTCAGCAAGCAGCTGTCTTTTAAGCTCCTAACTTTATAAAGTGGAGAATTTTCTATTGTACTTCTCACTATGTGGGCCCTGAGCTTTGTCTGCTGTTTAGTTTTCAACTTTAATTGGACTGCCCTCATAATTCATTGCCTTTGCCTGGACAATATGAAGATCATGCTTTGTACCAGTCTGGTAACTGACTATTCTCAATGATAACTGTTACTCATTTTCATCATTATCTACCTTTGTCAGCACCTCAGGAGGCTCATACATCTTCTAGGGGGTGGTGGCATATACTCAGGTATGAGAGAAAGCTGATGGAGAAATTCAGCTACTGCTGCTGAGAACAGACACAGGGTAGAACCATGTCAGGGTATTAACTAAAATTTTTTTTACTGTACTTGGTCAAAACCATATGTGATAAACCTCCAAATAAGGTCATCTTACTGTATTACTGTATAAAGCTATGAAATAAGCTCCAATGAGAAGTTTCTTTTGCTTTTGGAGAATGAAATTAAGTACATATCAACTTTCTATGGTATGCAATAAGCCCAGAGCAGACTGTATTACTGGTATCATGGTAATAGTTAGTATATTAATTTATTCCCACATACACTTTCCTAGTAAGTTCTACTTTTCTGAAAAACAACAAAAAACAAAAACAAAAAAACCCCAAAAAACCCTGGGGGGGTATATTATCCTGTACAGCAAAGAAAGATATTCCTTGGTTTCAAATTTCTGGTTGATAATTTAAACCAAATCTATATAAAAACCTTACTTCAAGCCGGGCGCCGGTGGCTCACATTATAATCCTAGCTTAGCTACTCAGGAGGCTGAGATCTGAGGATCGCGGTTAAAAGCCAGCCCAGGCAGGAAAGTCCATGAGACTCATATCTCCAATAAAACACTAGAAAACTGGAAGTGGCACTGTGGCTCAAGAGGTAGAGTGCTCGCCTTGAGCTGAAGAGCGCAGGGACAGCGCCCAAACCCAGAGTTCAAGCCCCGCGACTGACAAAAACAAAACAAAAAAAACCTTACCTCAAAGAAAGTTAAAGACTTTTAAAAAGAAAACTGAAAGTTACTATTGTCAGGTTTCTAACTATCTGGAATACAACCTTAAAGGATTATATCCTTAGAATTATATACTTGGTGTAAAAAGCATATTGAGTGAGACACTGGTAGCTCAAATCCGTAGTTCTAGCTACTCCAGAGGCAGAGACCTGAAGATCTCAGTTCAAGGCTGGTCAAGGCAGACAAATCTGAGAGTCTTACTGACAATTAACCAAAGAGTACAAGAAGTGGTAGAGAGCCAGCCTTGAGTAGAAAAGCTAAACCTAAGCACAAGTCCTTGAGTTCAGATCCCAGCATAGACACACACAAAATGATTTGAGGAAATAAAACACATGCTTACAAACATGCTTTTCAAAATAGTATAAACAAGAATGATAAAACAGGCAATAGCATAAGAGCTATCATTTACAAAACATTACTGTCAGGAATTCTATGATCTTACTTATTTTACAGATGAGTGGACAGAAGTCAGAATGTGCCTTTGGTTATCCAGCTGCAAGGAAGTGAGTCGATCTTCAAGCTGGTACATGCTGGCTTCAGAATCTGTGCAGCCAATCACTGTGCTATAATATTTCCCAGTACTGGATACTAACTTAAAAAAAATCAGAAATGTGTGTGTGGGGGGTGTTGGAGGGGGTGGGTGGGAGATGGGAAGGGGAAACAAAGGAGGAGGCAAGAATACTTGATAAGAAATGTACTCATTACCTTGCTCATGTAATTGTAACCCCTCTGTATGGTATTTTCACAATAAAAAATATATTTGAAAATTAAAAAAAATCAGAAATGTATTTTTTTTGCCAGTCTTGGAGCTTGACCTCAGGGCCTGGGCACTGTCCCTATGCTTCTTTTGCTCAAGGATAGCACTCTTGAGCCACTTTAACACAAGAGCTACAGCGCCACTTCTGGTTTTGTTTTGTTTTTTTCTCCTGTTTATGTGGTACTGAGGAATCGAACCTAGAGCTTCATGCGTACTAGGCAAGCACTCTGCCACTAAGCCACATTCCCAGTCCCAGAAACGAATTCTTGCTTAATTACCAAAGATAAGGAATATTCTTTGGTTCCTATAGGTCTAAATTTTCAACCTATTTTGTTTCTTTCAATATATTTGCTGTCCTTGATTTTGAGTCATCTGGTTTTATTTTACTACCCCAGTACCATGTGCTACCCTTAGACTGTTCCTTTTATATTAATGTCCATTTAAAATAGACAAGATAGCCGGGCGCTGGTGGCTCACGCCTGTAATCCTAGCTACTCAGGAGGCTGAGATCTGAGGATCGCGGTTCAAAGCCAGCCCGGGCAGGAAAGACTATGAGACTCCTATCTCCAATAAACCACCAGAAAACCGGAAGTGTCGCTTAGCTCAAGTGGTAGAGCGCTCACCTTTAGCTGAAGAGCTGAGGGACAGCACCCAGGCCCAGAGTTCAGGCCCCACAACTGGCAAAAAAAAAAAAAAAAAATCTTAAGCAGCCTTTACCCAGTTTTTCCAAATGTTTTTCCAACATCTTCTTGATGTTTAATACAATTATACCAAAGTACCGATACTGATATAAGCCTCAGGTTTACTTCTACTCACTTGTATATATAATTTTATTATATATTTGTGTCTATAACACCACAGTCAAGACAGAGACAGTTCGATTACCACAAAGATCCCTAATGTGGCCAACCGGCCAAACCTCTAACTCAGTACCAGCCCACCACTGTTCTTTTTGAGGCAGGATAGACATACAAGAAGACAGGGTAATTTAAATAGGCAGCTCCCTGTTCATCAATTTTTAGATGCTAATACACAAGAATAAGGAGACATAAAAGGGTTATCTGTGATTAAAAACCCACATGTTGCCAGGAGTTGGTAGCTCACGCCTATAATCCTAGCTACTCAGAAGGCTGAGATCAGAGGATTATGGTTCAAAGCCAGCCTGGGCAGAAAAGTCCATGAGACTCTTATCTCCAATAAACCACTAGAAAACCAGAAGTAGAGCTGTGGCTCAAGTGGTAGAGCGCTTGCTCTTAGCTAAAGACCTGAGGGACAGTGCCCAGGCCCAGAGTTCAAACCCCATGACTGACAAAAACAAACAAACAAAAAACCCCACATGTCCAAGAAAGAAAAGTTCTAAGAGACACTAGTTGTACTTATGTTTTGGCTAGGCCTAGATTACATCTCCATGTTTCAGAATAATAAACAGCTCACCAAAGCCATTAGGAATTGCTGGAGGACATGACCACATGTATTCCTTCAGACAGAACCACCGTTTTGACTCCTTATTCTTCCTTCCTGGGAAGCAAGAAACGCTTCCCCTTTTTTCTTTCTACCCTCACCTCTCTCTCTCTCTCTCCCTCCCCCCTTCCCCCTTCTTTCCTCCTTCCCTCTCTCCCTTTCTTCCTTCCCTTCCTTCCTCTTTTCCATCCCTCCCTCTCTCCCTTCCATTTACATCTTACTTTATCCTGTTATACACTAAAGTAAATCCTTGCTAAAATTTCTACTTTGTAAGAATCTCCTTTCTGTGAGACACCTCAAAATGTTTTTCACATGTGGATCTCAAGGAAATTCATAGAAAAGCAAAAGTCCTGTCCCAATTTCCATATGAAAGGATGGACCAGAGTACAAGGGTTTCCCCCAAAAAAGAATATTTTCATGTGTAAGGAATATTCAATGTGCATGTAGATAGCATTTTAAAACATTTTTACTTGGCAACCATTTGTAAATAAAGCATCTTTTCCTGAAAGTATTTTCCTAACTACAAGTGTGTGTGTGTGTGTGTGTGTGTGAAGTTAGCTGCCAAAAAAAGTTAATCATCAGTGCTCAATATAATTTCTACAAATCCACAAGCTCAAATCTGACATTTCACATTTCATTTCCTCTCCACCAAGAGTTTTACAATGTATTCGATTTTCCAAAAATAGAAAAAAAGCATTTCTAAGAATGTTTTAAGCCTGAGAAATTCACAAAGATCTCAATCTCAACGTAATTATATCTTTACCTTCCTTTCTTCAGTTGACAATGCTCTAAATCGAATCATTCCTTCTTTTATTATGTCTGCTTCCTCTGAAAAGTCAGGATTGTCAGACAAAATATTGCTTCTGTTTTCTTCCAACCACATCTGAAACCCAGTCTTTGGCCTAAAATAGCATATGAAAAAATTTCATATTTACTACGAGTTTAAAGCATTATATGACTTTTTAAATTAGTAATTAACATTAGTCTTTGTATACCAATATAAAATAAGGGAGACACACTTATATTTGTTACTATTCATATTATTTTAAGCTGCTTGAAGACAGACAACAGGATGAGAGAAGTAAAGAATGCTTTACAAAATCAATTCAAAAGGATCATTTGATATTTTATTCTGTAAGTGCAGCAACCTTGAACTTTCCCTTTCAGCTCTTGTGAATAAGGCTCAAGGCCTCCAACTTCACTTATCCCTTCAGGAATGGTAAAATTCCTCCATTTCCCAGATCAGCTATTTAAAATCTTGCTGATTTCTCTCAAGTCATTTATTATGCCCAAACCCTTGCTCTGACAGTCGACTGGGGTTCTTCCCTGTGCTATCATTATGTACCGCAGTAATACAGCAAATTTGTAAATTTTACTAGTTTCTACTTTCAACACAAATTCACGTTAGGTCCTAAGCAAAGGTCCAATGCAGATATTTAAGCTTCTGAGCAGGAATTCTGCCAGGAATTTTTATAACTGCTTTGTGTTTATATCATAATCAACCCTATGATTTGGTAATAATTTGTACCTTCAATCTACAGACAGAAGAAAGCTCAGAGAGATAAGATAATTTAGGTGACACACAGAATCAAACCTTACACTCAACAATCAGGTGGTTTGACACCAGAGATTTGACATTTAGCTGTCCAGCTTGGTTATCTCCTACTATGCTAATGCTAAAAGGATCCTAAGTGGTGAGTTTAAATACATGACAAAGATAACAGAAAAAAATGCTCATAATTAAAGTTTTAAATCCAAATAAAAACATGGGGTACAAAATTGTATCTGTAATTCAAACTACATTAAGTATTAAAAAAATCACTAAAAAGAAGTATAAGGAAAAAATTGGGCTAGGAGTGTGGCTCAAATACTAGAGTGACTAGTTAGCAAACCTAAGGCTCTGAGTTCAAACCCCAGGACAATCAAAGCAAAGCAAAGCAAAGCAAAGCAAAACAAAACACAAACACACACACAAAGGAAGGAAGGAAGGAATGAACGAAGGAAGGAACGAAGGAAGGAACAAAGGAAGGAACAAAGAAAGAAAGAATTAATCCCTGAAAATGAGTAAAACTGACTTATTTTTATCTAAACTTTAAAATTTTTACAATACCAAGTTACTAAAAAAAACCAGTAAGCAAAGCCTGGTGGTGAGCACACCTGTAATCCCAACACTCAGGAGGCAGAGGCAGGAGGCTTGAGGGTTCAGACAAGCCTAGGTTGTATAGTTGAGAGCCATCTCAAAGAAGAGACCCAAACAAACACAATACATTAATAGTATGACTAGTACTAGTTGCCCAGTTTCTGATAATATATGAATTTCAAATAATCAAATAACTCCTATCTCCAGGAAAATAAAATAAAAATGATGCTAAAATCAATGTTAAAGGTTTTTGTGAAGCTGGATAGATAGGAAATTTGAAAAAAGCCACAGTCAAGAACTGAGACTAAAAAAAAAAAAATCGCTAAAAGATTTAAATGTTTTATATATGAATAAAATGCTACCCTCCTATATTTAAAGTTGCTCTAGGTAAGTAATTTTTGCTTCCCTTTCTTTGCCTGACATTCTAAAATCCAGGAAAGCCACACCAAAATGACTAAAATGCTCAGTCACATAATCTTTCTTCTAGAGCAGCAAAAGGTAAACTAATCCTTTTTAGAAAGTACAAGTAACCATCACAGCCTTCCTTTAGATGAGTAATTTGGTATGAGAGTAACACTAAAACCTTTTAGAGCCACTCAAACACACTGTCTCTAAGACTGGGTGAAAGGTTACCAGGTAACTGAAATTCTTTCAGAACTGACCTTTGGTTTTCAACATTTTGAGGACACAACACTGGGGCTTCAGATGAGGCATTTTTAGGGTTTTCTTCCTTCACTTCCTCAGTCTTTTCGACCTGACAAGGTCTTTTCTGGAAAAAAGATGCTGCAGATGCCTACAAGAACAAACATAAGCATGTAATCTAGAAAGGTTGGTATATGCTTCAAGCAAATTCTGAAATATAGAAAGAAGCATTTATAATTATTTACAATTCTCATACTAATTACCAAAGTCTTTTGAGTTTTCAGCTGAAAATAAACATGTACATACACAAAACCAAAAATAACACCCATATTTCCAATTCCATGATTTGAAATGAAGTTACATAAAACAGAAAAGATAAATAATAGATTGATTCAACTAATGATATAAACCTAGGGGCTGGGAAGTTGGCTCAGTGGTAGAGTGCTTGCCTCGCATGCATGAGGCCCTGGGTTCGATTCCTCAGCACCACATAAGCAGAAAAAAGCCAGAAGTGGCACTGTGGCTCAAGTGGTAAAGCGCTAGCCTTGAGCTGAAGAGCTGAGGGACAGCACCCAGGCCCAGAGTTCAGCCCCCATGACCGGATCCAAAAAAAAAATAGATATAAACCTAGGATGAAATGCACTTAAGAATAGGCAAATTCAGAATACATGGGGGAAGATTAGGGGAATATACTTAATAGTAATAAATAAGGATACATCTGGGAGATTTATAAGATTACAGAGAAATGGTAGAATCACCTGAGGTGCCAAACAAGATGATCAGATAAAGATGTGAGTTATTATCTTCACCATGGAATATTACACAGCCATAAAGGAAAATGAAACCATGTCATTAGCAGGAAAATGGATGGAATTGGAAAGTATTTAAGAAAGATAAACCAAGCTGAAAAAGCCGAATATTTTATGTATTTGCTCACATGTGGAGTTGGACATAAAAGCCATAGATATTCATGGACAGGGACACAAGTGCATGCAGCAAGTATACACAGGAAAATTTCAGTCTAGGCCAGCTTGGGCAAAAAAGTATCTACAGAGGGAAGCTGAACTCATAGATACATGCCTATGATCCTAGCAATAACAGGAAACCTAAAGTAGACAGAACATGACTCAGGTATAGGGCTGAGTAGGAAGCAAGGCTCAGCAGTAATAAACCAGCCTAAAAAGTACAAGGAGGCCCTACATTCAAATCCCAGTATCATTATTTAAGATGAGAAGGACTGGGTATGTGCCTTAAGTGGCAGAACACTGGCTCAGCAAGCAGTGTCCTGAGTTCAAACCTCAGTACTGCTCAAAATAACGGAGAGGGATAGATTCTGGAGCCAACTGGTTACTAAATCTACTTCCACAGCTAAACAACCAATGATACACTTCCCACCTTGTACCTGAAACACTGAGCAAAACAAACAGGATGCATGCTGTTTACTATAGATGTAGATAATTGAACAGTACCTGCTTAGACTTTGGCTTTGGAATCAGAGGCTTTATAACTGGAGACTTTTCGTTATTTGTTGCTCGATTAAATGCAGTGGATTTTTTAGATGATTTGTTCATAGTATCTAAAATGTTAGTTGACCGTGTTGAATTCACTGACATAGCTGGTTCTTTGGAACTGGCTGATACCTAAATAGGAAACTAATATTAGCATTTAATTTTTAGAGAAGAAAGCAAAATTTCCAAGAAATTTATTTCTTTTAATTTCTGTAATGTTTGTTTTACAAAATGAATACATGAGGTATATTCCAAATTAAGATTCATTTGGTATTTTCCAATCCCACATCCCAAAAAAACAGAGAGTTTTTCAAAACCATCAGTATGCAGAAAGTAAGAGATCCCCTTGATCTCTTACTGATTGGCTTGGATTATAGGAGTAAGCCCCCCTCCCCCATACCTAGTTTCAGAATCCTTTCTTAAATTCCTGGCCCAAATGTGAACTGAGGATGCTTTTTCTTTCTTTTCACAATGATCAGTCTTTAATGGCTCTGAGACAAAGAAGGATTACTTGGAAATGTTCCATTGCATGGACACGTTTTTAAATAATAGGAAATACCACTGACACTTCTAGCTTCCAAGGGGCTAGGAGACACTGGGAAAATGTGGCTGTCTGTTATTGCTATAATCTCTCACAGACTCTGTTGTCTGGACCTTGGTCCCAAGTCCCACACCCACCTGTTACAGAACCTGCTTACCAGACTGGCATGACATGAACACATCATGTCACCATGGGTGCGAGTGAAGGAAATAAAGGTCTATACCAAGAAACTCACTGACTATGGAAAACACCAATGAACAAGTCATGAAATCTTCACACTCAAGAAGGACTTGATCTCAAAGCTCTTTTAACAACTTTGGTGAGGTTGGTATCTGAGTACCAAGGGCGACACAGACTGCTACAGATGCCAAATTGGAGTGAGCAGAATTGGGCCAAGATGGCAGTGATTGAATATAAAGGAAACAGCCTCCACTCCTGCCTTGCAAAGACAGCAACCTTGCCCAGCTACTGCTGCTGAAGCTGTGACAAGACACCACCAAAACCAGGAAGCTAGTTTCCACAGCTCCCACACAGCTAAACACCCCAATGCCCACAAGCACAAGCCTTCGAAGCTCCTTTTAATGTCTCATACAGTTTTAATGGAGCCCAGAACCTTCTGAGAATCTAGATGCATTTTAGTTTGAACAACAGATAAAAGGGAAGAAGAGAAGGAAGGAAGGAAGGAAGGGAAGGAGGGAATTTAAAAAAATACCACTGGAAAAAGTTTACCTTGAATGGGTTTATTCGTCCTTGGTTGCTAGAGGTAACGGCACCTTTCACAAGAAAGAAACCCTCACTTAATATTATTAAAATATAGATGAATTCTGACTTCTACAATGCTAAATGAAATACTTTAATCTGCATTATATGATAATATAGGTATTCTGCAACTTTAAAACTACTAACAGCTATAGATGACCTCTTTCCTACCTCCATGATGAAATGATGTTAGGTGGAACTGTCCCAACTCTCTACAACAGAACACCCAAAATAGACCAACCTGTCTTTCTCTCCTGTTATTATGAACAGTGGGGCCTTATTTTTGTTGTTGTTAGTTGTGGGGCTTGAACTCAGGGCCTGAGTGCTGTTTCTGAGCTTTTTTGCTCAAGGTTAGTGCTCTACCACTTTGCATTGTTTTGAGCCACAGAGTCACTTTTCAGTTTGCAGTTGGTTAATTGGAGATAAGAGTCTCAGGACCTTTTGACCTTTCCTTCCTCACCTTGCTTCAAACAATGATCCTCAGATCCCTGCCTCCTGAGTAGGTAGAAACATAGTCACGAGCTACCAGCACCTGGCTAGTGAGGTGTTAAGCTAAGGTTTATAATCCCTATATTTTAAATCCATTCAACCATTCTAAGTAAACTTAAAAGTACATTGTATCCATGTTTAAAACTATGAACAAAATGAAAAACATCATTCAATATTAGGTAACTTCCAGAATATTAACTAAATGAGGTACAAGAGAAAAAAGAAAAACAAAAAAACCTCAACCTACTGATGCTTCCTTCTGCATGGTTGACTTTTTCATCATATTAGCTCAAGTCTCCCAACTTTAAAGCACAAACAAAAAACTGGCATAGTGGTTCATGCCTATAATTCCGGCAACATAGGACGTAGGAATTAGGAGGATTGTAGTTCCAACTGACATCGGACAAAAAGCAAGACTAAGCTAATAAGCTCAATTTGGTTGTGCATGCCTGCCATCCCAACTATGAAGGAGTTACAACTAGGAAGATTGTGGTCCATGCCAGACTGGGAATATGAGACCCTATTTAAGAAGTAACAGCAAAAAAAAAAAAAAGACTGACGACATGGCTCAAGTGATTGAGCACCTACCTATCCTTAGTTCTAACCTCAATACTGCCAAAAATAAAAATTAAAAAACCAAGACAAACAAAAAATAAACCTTCTAGTCCATATTCCTTTCAGCAACCATTTTCTCTCACATTCTCTATCCAGCCACATTAAAAACAAACAAACAAAAAACAACCTGTTAATACTTTCTCTCATTTCTTCTCTGCTCATACATCCCTCCATGCAATAATATAACTTCACATCCTGTACCTTGCAGAACCTCATCTTGCTAAGGCCTCCAATTCTGTGATCAAATCATCATCTTATTTGGCTTCTCAATGGCACTCCATTCCACTTTTTCCTCCCTTGACTTTTGAGACTTCTTTTCCCATACTTAACCCCTTTCTCTCTAGACCAGTGGCCTCCATCTCTTTCAGTGGTTCTTTCTCTTCTATCTGATGCTTAAATGTTGAGGATGCCCTATCAAGTGTATATTCACTCAGGCCAGAGTAGTGCTTGCTCTACTTCTGCCAATTATTCCAACTTTGTGTTTCTAAGGCAGACCTACTTGCTTAGTGTCTGACCCAAATAAACATTAGATCTACATGACACCCTACATATCTCATAATTCATCATTATCTAAATTCATCATCTATCTAAATTTGTTTTTCCCAAGTGAACGGCACCACCATTCACTGAAGTATTTAAGAAACAGAGTCATTCTTCACACTCTGAACTCTTACACTCTACATTAGCAACACCTCTACCACTCTACCAATTTTTTCTATTATCATACCCCCAGTCCCACAGCTCCTCCAGCATCCCGAATGTTTTCTCAGTAAAACTCAGATCTATTGTCAACATACATCCTTCCAGCTGGGAAGAACATCAAGGCAGGAATCAACCATACATGTCTGAGTTCTGTATTGCCCGCTTAATGAAGTCCCTGACATACAACACACATTTAATAAATGTGTGTTATCGAGTTTTACAAAACAATCTGATAAAAACAACAAAATGAAAAACAACAACAAACAGGCACTGAAGGGAAGGTATATTTGAGTAGAAGAAGGATCACTTTAAAAACTAATTGCTGGGCTCGATGTAGCTCAGTACCAAAGCACTGTGAAATGTCCAAAAAACAAAAGACAAAAAAAAATACTGTTAAGAAATTAAAAACTAGGGCTGGGAAGGTGGCTCAGTGGTAGAGCACTTGCCTTGCATGCCTGAGGCCCTGGGTTCGATTCCTTAGTACCACATAAGCAAAAAAAAAGAAAAAAGCCAGAAGTGGCACTGTGGCTCAAGTAGTAGAACGCTAGCCTTGAGCTGAAGAGCTGAGGGACAGCGCCCAGGCCCAGAGTTCAAGCCCCATGACTGGACCAAAAAAATAAAAAGAAAAATAAAAAGAAATTAAAAACTACTTGCTAAATTTTCTTGACATTACAATTTTACAAATATTTCTTACCTGACTTAATAGCCGGTACATCAAATGTATCTGTGCTTCCGGAGTTCTGTCCTATAATTAAGATAAACAATATGACGTGAGGAAAATAAAGTCATCCTTGATATTCAACAGACAGCAAAAGATGTCATAGAGAAGTAAGGGACTTGGCGTTTCCCTCACCGAGCAAAATGGGAAAATTCATATTCATGACATTTCTCATCTTTTACGGCCTTAACAATGTACATATCTCATTCTTTTACCCATTTCTTCTTGGCTCCACTCTCCTCTCTTGCAAGTACCCATTCCTTAGTACTTCTTTTGTTGTTTGACTTAGTCTTTTTAAAGAATTACACCATTTGTGCTCTCTATAGAGTCTATGACAGTTCAGTTAATTCATCTGTAACCCCTTGCTTACCACCCAGTGTGTTTACTTTGTAGATACATAGGCAGGTTCAAGCTACCTCAAATGAGAGCAACCATGCAAGGGGCGAGAATGCAGGCAAGAATTCATTTGTATATCGTAGAATTAAGAAATATATATAAGTGAAGGGAGGGGTAGGTCAAAGTGCGGGTAAAGAAATAGGAGTGGTGACACGTAGATCAAGATGCATTGTACACATAAATTGCTTTGTTAAATGGTCAAAAATCAATACATAACCTAATATTAAGATAAATAAGGGAAGGGGTAGGATGGGAGGGGTGGGAGGGAGAAAATGTTGAAAGGGTGACATTAACAAAGATGTACAATATTCATAAACTGCTTAGTGCATGGCAACTCCTTTGTACAACTACTTACAGATAATAAAAATATTCAAATGTATCTCACAGGGGGCTGAGATCTGAGGATCATGGTTAGAAGCGAGCTTGGGCAGGAAAGTTCATGAAACTCTTATCTCCAATTAACCACCAAAAAGCTGGAATTTGAGCTGTGGTTCAAGTGGCAGAGTGCCAGTCTTGAGCAAAAGTGCTCAGGAAAGCACTCATGCACTGAGTTTAAGCCCTAGGACCAGCGCGCGCGCGCGCACACACACACACACACACACAATGTATCACACACACACACACAATGTATCACACACACACACACAATGTATCACACACACACACACAATGTATCACACACACACACAATGTATCACACACACACACACACACACAAAATGTATCTCACACATGTATCTCACCATGCTCATGGAGTTCTGGTGTTTTCTGTGTATCATCAGCCTCTTTTCTGCTCTCAGTATCTTCTTCAGTTTGGTTTCTGAGCCGTGGCTGGTCCCACTCTGTAGCAGCATTACTGTAACTAAAAGACAATAATAAAGAGCTATGCAAAGACAAATGTAGTATTTAGATTGTAAAAGAAAATTCAAACAACTCTATTTTTTACCCAGCACTCAGCTTCTTTCTGAAATCCTCTTCCTCCACTTCCTCCTCCTCTGCTTGGGTTGCTGCTAGTTCAGATGCCTTTTCTACAGCTAGTTCACTAAGTTTTTGGGCCAATATTAATTTCCGAGAGCGAGAAGCATATTTAACAGCTAAATTCACAGCATGTTGAGTCATTAATTCAGCAAGTTCCACACAACGAAATTCTCTCTCCAGTTTACAAGAAAGCTAATCCCAAAAGAAAAAAAAACAACAAAACACCATATTAGGTCTAAAACTTTTTTTTTGTTGTTGGTTATAGGGCTTGAACTCTGCCTGGGTGCTGTCCCTGAGCTTTCTGCTCAAGCCTAGCACTCTACCACTTTGAGCTACAGTGTCACTTCCAGATTTCTGGTGGTTAACTGGAGATAAGAGTCTCATAGACTTTCCTGCCTGGGCTGGCTCTGAACTGCAATCCTCAGACCTAAGCCGAAGTAGCTAGGATTATAGGCATGAGCCACCAGCACCTGGCTAAGTAAAAAACTTCTTAAAAAAAAAAGATTCATTTGCAAGACAAAAGAATATGGAAATGCAAAAAACTTAAATATTGACACTACTAATAAAATGGGGAGAACAGTGTTTTAGATACTGATTATACATTTATACTGATTATAAGATGTACACTTTACACATTTTAGTATCTATGAAATTTGAAGGCATCTTACAACTCATGGTAGGTCGGTTTGCTAAGCAATCTTTTTGTCTCAGTCGCTTAAATAAATAATGATGCATTTACAATTAACAGTAATGTAGATTTAATCAAATAAAACAATTTCAAGATGAAGGAAACTAAGCAGTTTTAAAATTTAAACAAAATTCTCTTTGCTTTCTAGTTGCCATTCACTAGTAGGAAAGAAAAATGCACAAAGGAAGAAAATTGAGTAAATAAATTAAGTAAATTAAATATTACTTTGTTCAGAATTGGCACACAAATGCTACTAAAGAAATTTGAGTGGGAGAAGTAAATTTTTCCTTCCATTTTAAAGTATACTATCATCTATAATCTTAAGCTATCACAAATAGTTATACAACTTCCAAATTACAATTTGGTTTTCTTGCAGAATGCTTTTCAATAAAATAAAGGGCATTTCCTTTTAGTATGTCTTACAAAATACTGATTTCCTTTTTGGTTTGAATTCTGGCAATTCAACACAGGAAACTCAAGTTCAAATAGAGGAATGTTGATACTAAGGGTGTGAGAATACAGTGGAGAAGTATTTTGTTACTTAGATGTACCACATCTGACCTGTCAGTATGGAAGGTCTACATATTTTCTAGGGTATACTCAAGATTTCCTTTAACACTGCGAATATGGAATACTTTTCTTGGCAGTGCTAGGGTTTGACTAACTTGTGCTAGCTACAGAGGCACTCGACCAGTTATACTTCTAATCCTTTTTTTTTAGGTATTACTTATTTTTAATAGCCTTGCTTCCTTCTTGGGGCATATATCTGTACCATGAGCTGCCTATTTACACTTCCCACAAAACTACAATGACGTGCACACCACTGTGTCCAGCTACTGGTGAGCAGAGCCATGTCCAGCTACCAGCTGAGTGGTGTAGGTTTTCTCAAGAACTTTTCTTCCCAGGCCAGCCTCAAATCACTATCTTCCCTATCTCAGACTCCCAAGTAGCTAGGAATACACATATGAGCCACCAGTGCCTGCAGTACTTTTTAATCAGGGCAGTGCTTTTGCCTAAATGTGGGGAAGGATTTGGAAATGAAAGGGATTAGTTTGATTTTCTTAGTGAATGGGCTAAACTAACTTTCTTTTTTTCTTTTTATGTCGGTCGTAGGGCTTACTCTGGACCTGGGTACTGTCCCTCAGCTCTTCAGCTCAAGGCTAGAGCTCTACAACTTGAGCCACAGAGCCACTTTCCAGCTTTTTCTGTGTATGTGGTACTGAAGAATAGAACCCAGGG